TTTCTATATTTTAGGGTCTACAGGGTGTTCAGGGTCTCACTATGTAGCTGGGACTCGTAGTGATCCGCCTGGTTACAGCCTGCCAAGAGCTGGGATTACAGGCGCGCGCCACCTCGCCCAGTCTCAGTCGCCCTCTCAGCGTGCCCGGGGCGGGGGTGGCACAGCGAGCCCCGGCCCGTAATCCACTGAGCTATTTAGCCGGCCTTCAGCCGCTCTGAAAGCCTTAATGATGATTACTTGAAAGGGAAACAGTTATTTTCCTTTGCTTCCTACTTTTACTACAATGACCATATATCAATAACTATTTAAAATTCTTTCCAGAAAAAATAAGGTCACTATGCAGAAATCATTGCGCCTTGGCCAGCCATGGTGGTGCATGCCTGTAATCTCAGCACTCGGGAGGCTGAGGCAGGAAGACCACCATGAATTCAAGGCCAGCCTGGGCGACATATTAAGTTCAACACCAGACTCTGTTTCCAAAAATTAAATTGAGAGAGAGAGAGAGAGAGAGAGAGAGAGAGAGAGAGAGAGAGATTACTATAACTTATACCAAAAATATTGAGTGATTAAACATAGCCGTATTCAGAATTTAACAGGCTAATTTCCACATGTTCATTTAAAATGCTACTCAAGATTATACCGCTTTCTAGAAAGCTTCTTTTTAAAAAGTCCATAAAAAATTGTGATTTGCAAGTATCACCTTATTAATAAGAAAACGCAAAGTAAAGCAGTTTTATGAAGCTAATAAAAGACTCTGGCAAGTGATGAGCCGGAAGGGTCAGGCACAGTTATAACCAGAAAGGGGTCCGATGTGATCTCCAAGTGGGCGAGGCAGACGGGCAAGATCCGTAATACTGCGGCTCTCCAATGCTGAAGAGCGTCTGTAGGAAGAGCAGTAACGTGAAGGGTGGCGGGCTTGAGGGCGGGCTGTGAAGGAAAGTGAAATTTACAACAGGGGTGTGCAAAGCCTAATGGATGGCCAAACGCCAGCAGGCACCTGATGGACAAGTGGAAAAATTAAAATCGTTTCTTATAAAACTGAAAATACAAAAGGATATGCACCCTGACTAAGAGAACATGGAGGACACATAAATACTGAATTATGCTGCCTGTTAATAATACACTTAAAGCATTTTAAGATCCTTCAGAGAAACTTGTAAAGAAAAATATAGCTTATGCAAGAATAATTAAGTATTCTCTAAAGAATCAAAAAGATAAAATCTTGACCAAAATTTTCAAAACAGAAATATCCTTTTCTATATAGTTCATAGTGCATAAAAATATGAACAACAATGTTTCTGGCTTTGGGTCCCAAACAAATTCTGTCCAGATTATTGGGGTGCCAACAAAGACGTGCACATGCCCACAGAAGGCTAGTGAGGACGCATAAGTACCCAAGATAGGAAAGATGCACGCTGAGTCAGAGCAGATGCGTGAAAGGCCGACTCCGCCCGGAGCAGCATGCTGAGCCCTTTGTATCTGGAATCCTGGACTGCTCCTCCAGATAGATCCCAGAGGGGCACCACCAGCGCGAGGGGCCTGCCCACCTCAAGGAGAACCGGAACTCTCACTTTACTTAGGTCACAGAAAGCGTGTGGGTAGGTCACAGAGAGCCCACCATCAAGGAGGCAGTCTAGTGTTTACACAGGAGAAGCAAGCAGAAAGAAGCAGGATGGCTTGTCAGTTGAGGATGGTTCTTACAACACCCATCATAATGCCCATCTGTGCATCGCCATGACCAGCTGTGCATCACCATGACCAGCTGTGCATCGCCATGACCAGCTGTGCATCACCATGACCAGCTGTGTATCGCCATGACCAGCTGTGC